TGGCCAATTTACCATTTCAACTTTGTTGATATATCCAGATTATTTCGTTACTCCCACCGACGCAGCCCCAAACAGTTTCTTTCGAAACTATCAGCCTTTAAACCTAAAACGGAATGCGGAAAGAGGGTGTCCTACTTCCGTTTTACAAATGACTGGATGTCCTTCCCAGTATTTTTAAGAAGGCCAATGCCATGCACAATTTTTAAGGAAAACCTTACAAGATTCTTAATGGTTAAATACTTTAAATGATGGTTAAACTTTAGATATACGCCGTTTTAGATCTGTAACAATTGTATTTCTTATTTTAGCTTTTAATACTTTTTATTTTTACGGAGGACCTCCCTGAAAACCACGTATTTACGTGACGGGCGCTTCCTCCTTAAAGATTGTTTATTATTATTATTATTATTATTATTATTATTATTATTATTATTATTAAAGTGAAGTTCCTGTTTAGGCTTGTAGTTAAGCAGCCAATTTGGAATGAAAAGGTTTTTATGTCAACTTTTCGATTTAACTTACATTCAGGTCATCAGTTAAATTTGAGTTTACAAATTTTAGCCTAGTTTCGAACCGTGCTACAAAACTCTTTCGGTCAGCCGTAGTCGCGGGTCACTTAAAATCAGGCTTAACTACGATTGATTGGAGGCCAGCTATGAACATTGCGGTTTACTCCAACTTTTTAATATATAGCTTTCACATCATCTAGCCGGCCACGATAGAACAGGTAAACTCTGTTAACATTTCTATCTCCGTTTCAGCTAGACTTGTGCAGCGAGAAAAAACAACGCAAACATGCAAGTCAAGAAATGCTCATCTGTCACAACACGAAATTCCTTCGCTTACCTTTTAAAACCGAGTAGAGTTGATCTCTTGTAGATTAATGGTTGACGGAAATCAGGAGTAGCTAATAGCTTGAAAATTTCAGAAAAATTTCCCAAGACATCAGCTCAACGCAACGATTGACTGTCTTCCGCTTCGGTAAAAATTTGTATATATAGTTTTCTCAGAATTATCTATAGGTGGACCGAGAACCTCAGCCCTTAAATTGGATTGGCTTATCACACACTCGTACCCAGTTCAGCTTTTTGAGACGCGAACAATAATCAGTTGGTCAAATGACCTCTGGAGAAATCTCGTTCCTCGCTTTGGTCTTACAGCACAGATACCTCATAGACGAAGTATTTACTGCACGTTTACCATATTTTCTTAGATATGGAGGCTTGGCGTGAACTATCTTACATCACAAGTAGCTCGGGGGTTCATTGTATTGGGTTCACCATCCACTGAGGCTAAAATTAAAATGAAATTCCATCTTTTCATCAAGAAGACTGCAATTTTGAGACAGAAAACAGAAATATGCAAAAAGCAAAGAAACTGCTTTTCAAACCCCTATTTTTTTCCACTTTAAAATGATCAGCAGGACAAATTTAACATATTATGGAAACTGTGGAAGATTTCACCGAAGAGAATTGAAGAGAATCAAAGTGGAAAACATAACACCGGCGCCAGAATCAAGCTAAAACTCTGTGGAGCTTCCTTAGGTGACGAGGTGACACGTTATTGCAAAAGATTTCTGCAGCAAACCACTTCGTGCATTTTGTTTCCAAAAAAAGTCTGGGCAAATCATTTCAAACCTAAGATCACCGATCAAGTTCAAATCGGTTTGAATTTTGGTGACTCTCATGGTGGATAGAAACTCATTCTCAGGGGAAATTCTATATATTTTACGAGGATTTTCACCGCAAGATGTCTCCGCGAATTGTTCCGGCGCAACATTTAAAGTCTCAAATGGACCTACTACCCTCTTCCTTGCGGTAACCGATTGAATATTACTCTCTGTCTATATGGGAACGTAGGCCCGCTTTTAATCCCAGCTGTAATCCAGCTGGGTAAATCTTTTATTTTGTTAAAAAAAAAATCAGCTCGATTACTCGCGGTAACCAGCATGAATAAGGTGCAAGCCTGATAACCAGGAAAAAACATTTGCTTAAACTTCCAGCCCGTCCACTGGTAACTGGGTGAACCCGTCTTCTGATGAAAAGAGGAAAGAGGTTTGAAGGAAGATAACAGTGAATGGGCCAACCTTGTTGACTAAGTTCAGATGAATGGTTATTCGGTTCAGGCGAATCAAGCTCAGGAGAAGAGATACGAATTAGATTTCTTTGAAATTTTTTCTGGGCCTAGTTGTTTAAAGGGCGGACAACGGTATACAACAGATAAATCGCTATCCAGCGGATAAATGTGAACAAATGTATTGCCGCTCTATCTACTAAATAAATATTTATCCCAGTGTATAGCATATACAGCCTTTGAACAGCCAGGGCATGGAATTAAAGTTAGTCAGAGTGCTTTGAGGCTAGGCCGACTTAAATATAATTCGATGTAGTCTGTTTCTTTATCTGTTTAACGCCGGCACGTAAGCTTTTGTAAAAAGTGTAAGAAAAAAAAAAAAATCGGTAAATATCAGTTTCTTCAGCAAATGATTTTATTTTAATCAGGCTAAAAAATCAGGAATAAAACCTTTTTGTCCCTTCATCAAAATTCGTTTCAATATTCTTTTTAGATTACGAAAAGTGTTTGTGTTTTTTTTGTTGATGTTCGCTCGTGGTTGACCTATTTTGACCCTCTTACGGTAATTGGCCAAATAACAGCCATACCGACACAACTCTTCCTAAATTTATTTTCTTATTTTGTTGCTTCGAGCGCTCTTTGGCTCATATTAAAAATGTTTGAAAAATTTGTAACAGTGCCTAGCAGAAGTTCGTTAAGGATGAGTGTATGCAAAAACAAGTCCATTCGTACCTCACATATCGGGAAAACATCCTCGATGATGTCATATGAATATGTCGGTCGTGGAGAACGCTTTTCCGAATCTCCCGAAAACTCGTACGTTTTATGTTTAGGAACAAATTTAAAACTTAAGGGAATCTGTCTGTCTCAGGACACGAACTTTTTAACAGTTTCACATCATACTTGTAATTATACCCGGCGGAAATACCCTTAAATACACCTACATGTGTTTGAACCCGGAAATAACTCTACCGTCGATGTAGATTTGACATCATTTACTCACCAAGAGTTTATCTGTTGCGATGTTAGAAAGTAATGTTATTCCATCAATCTTACCGGAAAAGGATGTAATACCCAATTGATGAAAATAAATATTTTTTTATTATTTATTAACTTCGCCAAGCAACAACAATCAAAATAAATAGATATAAAAAATTTTAAAAAATGACAGAAAAATTGCAAAAACCGCAACAGCATAGCCAATTGCAGCGGGCCCAGAATATAAAAGAAGATAAGACGAGAGAAGAAGAGAAAGGAAACTATCGATCTTGCTACATGCAGCAAGCAATCTTAGAATTTAGAGGACGAACAGCATTACATTTTAAACAAATAGACTTAAAGGTTTTGGGATTATTCAGATCGCAAGAGATAAATAAACTGGCCAGATGGTAGTTAGACATTACGGTCTTAAATTAGTTCAGAGTTTGATTTTCATTGTTAATAATACTGGCTGAAGTGTTCCAAATCTGACAAGTTCTGTTGAAAAAGATTTGATAAGTAGTAGTTTTGCATTTTTTAGGAGCAAATTTGATGACAGTGTTAGTGTAGCGTGTAGTTCTTGCAACACGATTTACAGGTAGTACAGAACCATTCAAAGAGACAAGGTTATGCGTAGCCTTGTAGAAGAATATCATATCCATAAATTCGAGCCAAAACGTGATGGGGAGAAGTTTCAACGATTAGAGTTGTGTCCTATAATCTATCGATGTTCAGAACGGCAAACGCAAGATGAACTTTGTGGCACGTCTTTTTATGAACTCTAACTTGGAAATTAGTTGGATGGATTGAGGAGCCCACACTTGGGTGGCATAACCAATATTGGGGCGCACCAGGCCGATGTATAGAGTGCGCCTCACAGGTGTTTATGATGAATTTAGCATTCTTTTGGATGTATCCCAAGAGCTTGCTTGCACGGGCAGCTTGCTCATAGACTTGGTTGTTCCAGGTCAGGTCGCTGGATACAGACACACCTTGGTCACGCTCCGACGCTGTAGACTTAATGACGCAGCTACTAATCTGGTAGCTCGCAGAGATTGGACGTCGTTGCCCTGAAATGGTTTGGACCTTGCATTTGGTCTCGTTGAAGGACAGTCCTGAGTAAGTAGACCACACGAAAAGGCTATCAAGGTCCTCCGGAAGTGAGGCGCAATCATCCCTGGTCTTTATCTCTTCATAGATTTTTGTATCGTCCGCGAACATCATTACCTCGCTGTTTCTTACAGCACTCGAGAGACTGTTCACATAAATTAGGAAATGTGGCTGGTCACAAAATGGACCCCTGCGGAATACCGGAAGTGACTGGTAGGTCACGTGAGAATGCACCAAGTACGGTGACACGCTGACGTCGGCCTATGAGGTAGGAGCTAAACCATCTTAGTAACCCGGATCAGTGGACTAAGCTCTCGATTACAGTCCCTTTTTGCGAGTTTAGTGGTTGATAACCACATGACTCATGGCAACTAAACCTTCCCAAAAGAAGGAGCTAGGAAGATGCTCGAAATCTAACGATCAGTCGCAGAGGAAAACAAAACTAACCCGGAAGTCTTGCAAGTAAAACTCTTAACCATGCAGTACAAAGGTTCTTTTGCCTTGCGTGGTGCTAGAAATTGCGCACAAAAATGACAAGCTGGTCAAAGCAATGACAGATATGTCTACCTTCTCTGTTTACGGACCAAGTGATCAGAAAGTGAACTGAGAGAATGTCAGAAATTGATATTCGACTTTTGGTCCCAAATCCCAGCTCGGTTATTTATCAAATTGGCAGAGGCCCAAAGTAATTTTTTCTTCAAAAGAGAAGTCAAAAAAACCAAGTTCAGGCATTATAAAAGCAACCCCTTTCTGAGATTTCTCCTTTTGCAATCACTCAGGAGACTCAGTGAGGCTGAGTGAATTTTAAAAATATAAGTTACAAGGAAAGTTGATTAACTAGATAACTTAAAATAGAAAATGTTCGTATATCATGATAAGCTTTTATTTATTATTCATTCTCTTCTAAGTTAGGTAAAATTCAATCAACGTTATGCACGCGGTGATAACTGAACTGAAAGAAAAAAAGAGGACAGTTTGTGTATCCGTGACGTAACAAAGTTCAACGTCTGTCTTTTCCGTCTCTTGTGTAAACAACCAGGAACCAAACAGAAAGTCATTCAGGACCCAGGCAATATTTCTTTTTCGCGATAACCTGCGTGCATCTGTTTGGGAACCACGCGTTTTGGTTTCCACGATTTTAGTCAAGCGGTCAGATTACTAGGTTTTTTTCAAAATGGCGGCGTCCATTTCCTTTGCACTCACTCGAAGACAATTAGAAAACGGTGAGATGACTCACTGAAATTTCAAAGAAAGCTCTACATAACTCCTCTTTATGAGGATTAATTTACGTTTTTTTCAACCTACCCCTCTATTAAAGCTCTGATCGCGCAAGAGGCACTATTTTCTGTACCTGTGGCATCTTGTTATGGAACCATCACGCTGTTTAGCGCTCGCAGTCAATTGGGTGTCGTAAAACCAAAAACGAAGCTGTCAAAAAAGCCAGCGATAGCGAGGAAAATATCACCAGGAACAAACTCGAAGTAAAAACAAACAACTGCTTGAAGCGCGGGAAAACGCGTGCGACCAAGCCGAGATTGGTTTCAGTTTTGAATCTGATTGGTTGAGAAAGTGGCGCAAGTTTTCTAGACCAATCACAGAGTGAAGAAATGTAAAACCCACGCAATTCCGGATTACCTTTGACACCCACTTAAAAAATTGCTTTATGCAAACACGTGCTTTTTCCTTTTTCCTTTTTTTTAAGGTCCAATGCCTCTGAAGGACTTCTGAATATGTCTTTCTGGGATTTTAACCGGGAAAATTCAACTGGATGTACCTTGTCGTGAACTTTTAATTGTAAACTTGATAAACGACGTAATCGGACATGAATACCAGACATTAACCGCGAGTTAAACACTTTATTCCCCCTCGTTCGCATTACCAGTAAAAAGAATAACAAATTTCCCTTAACAACTATGAAAAAAAAATGAATTCCAGAATTTTCCAGCAACTAGCATCTACCACTCTTAGACAGCACAAAGAAGACTTAGAAAGTACTGCAGGCTTCAAATTTATATATTTTTGTTGAGATACGTGCAGTATCAACTAATAAACTTATCGCAAATTTACGCTAAAATGCTCCTTGAAATTTTCCCTCTACTAGAGAGCTGGGTTCCAAGCTCTCACTAATGCTTTTTGCACCTTCAGAACTAATACAGCCTGTTCATGCGTTCAGTAAGGAAAACGAAGCGTCATAGTAAACAACCCGATAGTGGTGAAGGAGTGAAAAGACGAGAGAGGTTTTGGTCGGTTCGCGTAATGAACGATCTAATCTCGTAGCCAGATCCTACCGTTTAACTGCGACTGAACTGCTTGGCCTTGAGAGGTCTGGGTACGAGAATATGGACGACCCATACCTCCCTTGTTTTCACTCGGCCGTTACTATCGCGCCTTCTACCATTTCGTCCCGGTTCTTGAAGAGGCTAGAACTAATACTACATTGCCACTAATACGACAAAGTCAAAGAGAAAATCCATTCTCGCACTTCTTTAATGCGTTACTCGAGCTTACTCAATACCACCATTGCACAATTAGACTAGGACGGCGTTCCTGTTGACTTTGCGTTTAAACAATCACAGGGCTTCCACGATTGCCAAGAGGCACAGCACTACCAAACTCGTTCCCATAAAATTGCAACCAGAGCTAGGTTCCGGTTCTTGGCTTGTTATAAACTTTAGGATGGTAGTTGAACCGTACTGTGGTTTATATTGATCTATAAAGGGTTTGAAGAGTTCCTTTGTTGTCTTGTCGTAGATCATCCAGTACGAGTCAGTCTTCGAATCCTAAAATGAGATCCATGCAGAAAGAGAGCGTTGGAGAGGATAAGTCACGCAGACTTCAGCTTATGTCAAGACTGATCGGGCTCGTATTAGAATCAGCTATGCAAAAATCTGACCAATAGGGTCGAGAGATGTCAATTTTAGCTCCAGGCCTCCTTGACAAGGGTTTAGTCGAGAGAGAGTGAGGGGGAGAGAGAGAGAAAGAGAGAGA